AGCAAAGTTTGATGAACTCCTGTTGTGCTTTTTCACCACAAAAATGCTCCGCTTATGCGAAAGCTCAGATTTGCCGAGAAGTTGCCACAGCCTGCACTCAGCTTGGGGAGCGCCTGATGCAGCTGGGGCGGAGTGACACAATTCAGCCATGAAGAGTACCACTTTTGATTGGTCAATATAGGGTGTTGTACTGAAAGGTTTATTCGGGATTATTGCCAAAAAAGGGGCGATACGATACTGTTAAGTCACCCTTATAACTGCGGAAAAGGTGGCAGTTTCCATGACTCAACTGATCTGAAGATAGTGGTGCCAGGCATGCCACATGTAGAAACTGCGGCTGGCGGAGTTGCGGTGTTTGTGGCTCTTAGATGTAGGTAGCAATGACATGTAATTAAGGTTGTGATTTTGGATATGGCTCAAAATCATTGAAGCCTCACAGTCTATCGCTAAATATGTCAAATTTATATGGAGGTTTCCCAACATGGGATAGCCCTAAATCATCCGTCTTCATGGGATTTTCCATTATAAACCAACCAGCGATTGGAGATTTTTGGGGATCCATTGATGGAAGCCTCCATTGATCGGACCAGGACGCCTCCATCAGCAACATTTTGCATCACCTGCAGAAGCTGTTGCTTTCGGCATGGCTACCTGGAAGCCGCTGTTTTTGGGTGTTTTTTTTCGGTATGATGTTCTGATGGTTATGTTTGGTGTAAACTCTTGAACCATTCTACTTTATCTCAAACAGATTCACCAGCAATGAAGTACGACATCCTGGCGGGTTGGTCAAGGTTCAAGTAACCTCAAATCAAGGGATGAGTCCATGCCACTGTGCATGGAACACCAGCCTTCGATGGTTTTTCTACGAACATTTGGCAGCCGCTACTATGAAACTGCAGAATAGCCAACCTGGAATCTAAAAAAGCTGGTTCCTAGTGGTATCGACATCTTTCACCATACATCGACTTGGTGCAGGTGCAAGGTGCCACCCACCGTTTGAGTCGCCTTCTGGGGCGATGCGAAGGGGCCTTTGATGGGATCTGCCTGGATGATCGAGGCTGGAGTGACATGGTGTCCTCTCCAAAAACGAAGGTCGTTGGATTCTTGCAGAGCCGCAAGTTGCCGCAAGACAAGAAAAAACCATAAAAAAAACAAATACGAAGCAACTGAAAACTGATGCGTGTTTTGAGGGGACACAGACTCTGCAGCTGCACATCGGAAGTCACTGAAGTTTCGTCTTAAGCTGTCTCACATCTATAGCATCTTGCCCTCCAAAGTTCAACAAGAGAGGTACCCTATGGTATTGAAAGAAGACAACGGACACTGTCCATTGCGATGAAAATAGATGATACATATTTGATCATATATATATATATATATCTGATTATCTCTTGACCATTGCTGACTTTTCAGTGGCGAATTAGATGAGAGGTTGGTGGCCCGAGCCAGGTAGCGCCCCCTACAAAGGAGCGACGCAGCCCATGGAGGTGCGAATTGCAGCACAAATGGCTCAGGAGCTAAGGACAACGAACAGATAGACACGATCAACCAACCATGGATTTTTTTTGGGGTCAACCAATGTGTAAAAATATGGCATTGGATGAATATGATACACTATGATTCATATATATATATATTATACACAACATAGTAATATATGTATGTATACACAATATATAGCAATATATATATAATAATGTACATATATAGTAATATATATATATATTTAGTAATATATATATATGGTAATATACATATATATATATACACACGTACATACATATATATATATATTAATACAACATAACTAAGTGACATACAATCATTTTTACATATGTTGTTTATTCTTGAGGGAAACCCGAAAGGTCCACAGGTCCTCTTTGAGGCAGCTCAGGTCTGTTGTTTTTTTTTTGAGGTCTGGGACGAGCAGCTCAATCTGCTGGACCGCACTGTGGGGAAGCTCAACTGAAAGTCCAGTTCATGAACACATTTCCATCATTTTCCATCACCACACGCACAAGTCTGCCAAATTGTGTCTGCAGGTGGAGAAATCCCACACTGCTGCCACAAGACCCGCACCGTTGCGGGACTCTCAGAGACACAATGCCGGGGGAGGAAACCACATTGAGAGACAATCACCTTGGTTGACAGCTTTGTCTAAAAATCAGGCCTTAAATCCGGACAAACCAAAATGACTGCCCTGAGATTTTCGATGATTAGTAACTTAGTATGTTGCAACCACGTTGAGAACAAGGCTGAGCCAAATGCTGCGTCGACGAGTTTGGGAGCCCAATCGAGCCAAGTGCATTGATGGATCTGGACTGGTGGAAGTTTGGTCCACGCATTGTCGAGTGTTTTTTCACCAAACGAAGTCGTTTCATCTTGTTGCTCTGAAGACTCTGGTCAGTACTAGGTTGATAGTGACATGCTGCTGCTCTTCTGATTCCCTAAAGCCAGCCTCTTCAGTCCTGCCATTCCAGGTCTATGAGGATCTTGGGCGAAGAAGGCGGTGGAAGCGATTATATATATATTTCCTCAAATGAGGGAGGTTTCAAGTTCCATGTACATCGACGATTCGCATCACATATCCATTCATGGCAAACGTATTTCTCATGCAAATGCTGATATGACCGTACGTTAGTTTCTTTGCGTTGAAGTTTCGTTCTTCGATGGGGCGCGATTTTGCTGTTGCTCCACAGGCGGGATGGCAAGTTTCCTGTGGACGACGAAGAGACGCTCAGCCGCCACGTTTTGTCTCGGAACACCCAAGCGACTCTGATGATTGGTAAGCGTTCGTAAGGGGTTTTCCATGAATTTTAAACAGAGTACCCCAAAATGGACAGTTTATGATGAAAAATCCATTGGAATGGATGATTTGGGGGTCTCCCATTGCTGGAAACCTTCAATAAATGTTCCTGAATTGCTTGAGTGGCTACCCTGAAAGGAATCACAAGTTGTTAGCTGGCCTGGCCAGGATTGAGATCGGTCACCGGACATTCCTCACAGGCCATGACACGGGAGCGACCTGGTTGGAGGAAATGTGGCGAAATGGCTATGGATCAAAAGCTAGGTACGTTGGTAAACATCAAAATAGATCAAAATAGTTGGTATAGCCCCGGTATAGCTGCATTTTCAATCATTTTCATATATTTTCATTCATACTTCAGTGATCTTCAGTGTAGCGGTGTTTAATCAGTTGAATGAGTTCCATCTCCCAACAGATCGATGTGATTTCTGGCGTGGAACCGCTATGGAGCACAGGATGCTCTGATGCAGAGCGGGCTCAAGCCGTGCATCGTGTTCTCATTGTGGGGAGCTCAAAACGATTTCGTCCACAGACCGATTGATCCCCGTCGATCTGAAGTGGCTTGACCTTAAGAAGCCCTAGCTGCCCTAGCTATACTCTTTGGCAGTGGGAATCATTTTGTGATGTGCTTATTGGTCAAAGTTCACCTGATTTTTTTCATTACCATCTCACTACACTTCCGGTAGTCCTGTATTCAATGTATATCTACATTGTAAAGATTCTTCCACCCCAAACGAACGCAAAGGTGATGGAGTCCATTGTGCAGTGGGATGGTAGGCTTCCAGTTTTGACCGATGCCATGTGGATCCAGGTTTGAGAAGATCGTATCCACATGGCTTTGCCCAAAAATGGCCGCAAAATCCCATGGTTAATGGTTGATCTTCGTTTTCCCATTCTTTTAGTTACCATTTTATATGGGTTCTCCAGGAAGTTCTCCATCCTAGGAATGCATTCAAGACCTTGAACGTTTCGCAGAGAGCAATGCTGAGCTGCTAGCGGTGGAAGGTGCGCGGCGCAACTTGCAGCTCCAACTGGAGGGAATTAATCTGCGATGGTAAGATGTGGGAAACCAAGAAATCTTTGACTTTGACCAGACATATCCAGAAATTGAAATTAAAAGATCATAGGGATATACAGAGAAATGGTATTGAAACAAGAAATCTATAGGGATATCTACCTACTCTTTTGAGGTGTCCAAACATGGTGCTTCTGGTTCCTGAACTTGACCCTTCAGGCGTTTTCAACCTTTCGCCTTTCACCCATGAAGGAAACCCTGCATGTATCTGCATCATGCCATCCTCAGGTGTGACAGTATGATTTCACGCGGCAGAGGAGCATCTCTGACAGCTGAAAGATCCATGATGTGATGCATCTATTTAATCTATTTGGCTACGTCTAAAGATTAAGGTATACCAGGTATGCCAGGTATACCGTATACCCCAAAATGGCAAATTGAATGGGGAAGATGATGAGAAACTATCAACATTTGAGGTACTTAATTTTGAGACAAACCCATCTGGAGCCATGTGTATATGCCAAATGCTTGCCCAAGTTCTAATGAATTCGCCTTGACTCTGGTTCTCCAAGGATTCCCTCAACACGGTGTGATTTACCCTTCCACGAAAGCCAGGAGGATTATGCCAGTTGGAAGATTTCACCCTATGGATTCCTCTGCTGAAGATCAGCAGGGGTTGAAGATGCGGCGCATGAGGAGATTCTCTTGAAAAATATGTTGTGATGGCATGATGCAGCGGCAGAGCCAAGGAAACATTGTGTGGTGACTGCTTTTGCTCAAATGAAGATGTAAGGCAAAAAACACCGGTGCTGGCGGTGCTGGCAGGCTCTTTTTGGTGCTTGTGGTGAAGTCACAAACCTGTTGACATGCCATTCTTCTAGATTCTAGACACTATGATGATGGATGCTGGGAGCCCTGGGCTGCAGTGGCTGTGAAGCAGTTTGGTTCAGGTCCAACGGTATGGTATATCGAAACACACGAAGTAGCTGTGCGACCATTTAGTGTCCTGTGACGTCCTCTGTGTGATGCAGAAACTCTTTGTATAGCTTTTCAACGGTACAAGATTCTGGATTCTGGAGTGCATTCACACTGTCTGCGTGTACCTCGAATGTACAGGAGACATTCTGTATATTTCTGTATAATCTCCATGTCCATATCCATTGCTACCATTGGATGCGACTTCAATCCACAGCCATGACTTGATTGTAGCACTGGCCAGCGGCCATCGGCGGCCATTCTTCACAACGTCAGCGCCATGGCCAGAATTGTGGGCCCTGGTCTGCCACGTGGCTGGGTGCCCCGCCGTCAACATCCTGCTATTCTCTGGTAATCTAATAGGTGAAAGTCCCCCCTTTCATAGGTGAAAGTCCCACATTTTCCCCTTAAACATGGGATCTACTGATGCCATTCCAAATGCTTTGATTTAGCTTGGTGTTCAGTCCCTGAAAGGTTGCGCAGAGAGTGTCAGTGCCTCCTTCAACGTCGCTTGCTCAAGAGACACGAGTTCAACATGCTTGTGGAGTGGTGAAGAAATGGATTGGTCTATGTCTATATAAATTAAATAAAATATTTGTTTTCTTTGCCCCAGGCATTTCATATTCCACTTGGAAAGCCATTGGTACAACCATCACTTACCATGATTTCAGCATGCTTAAACCAGACATCATTCTTCAGACATTTTCAGACCCAATGATGGAGGGCGCGTTCCGAGAGGTTATCTAACCAGGCAATGGGACATCGCTTTAACCGCCATCGCTTCTGAGGTTAGGTCGTCGCGCATTCGCTGGGAAGGAGGAGCAACTGTGGCTGAAAAGGTCGTTGTGCTTGGACCCAATCTTGAGCCACAACTGTAGATTCGTGTTTGGCAGTTCCTGCACACCTGAGAGTTCAGCAACTCATGCCTCCTGTGTGATTCATCCAAGGAAAAAAGTGCCACCTGAGACGCCAGAAGAGGTCACAAAAAAGCTGAAAGAACAAAGAGACTATTGGGACAAACAGGTGGGATTTTGTGCCGCATCCGAGTATGGTCCAGAATCCAGTATCAAGGTTCTGCCACTTGAGCACTTTGTTCGTCCCGCCATGGCGAAAACCAAGACTCGAAGGAAATCACTAGCCAAACTGAAGGTAGAATAACTTCTACAACTCTATATCATTCTATAACTATATAACCTCGTCATGGAGGAACTCCTTTGCAGTGTAGGAGACCTTGGGTGTACTTCCGCCTTTCCCACTTCTTTTTTTGTTTGGCCCGGGGGGTTGTTTTACTTTCGGAAGGCTGTTTGCTTTCCGCCCACCGCTCCACAGTCAGGTGGTGTTAGTAGGAAAGCTTATGACCATGTTTTCCAGCGCAACTTGATGCTGAACGACCATTTTCTACCAATTCAGTGACACGGTTTGATGGTTTGATCTTGGCTGTCTGGCCGTAATCGTTTGATTCAAGGGAACAAATCAGGAAGCCATGGTTCTTACCCCTGAATATAACAATTTTTCCCGATTCCATGATGTACTGTAGCATTTCCCTTTGTAGCAGCCCCAAACTGAAAAGTTGGACACCTGGAAATGATGGAGGAAATATCATAGAACTATATCCTTGAAAATTCTGGAAACACTTCTGGAATGGTGAGTGTTAATTTGCCAGGAACGTTCCAAGGTGAAGGTGATCCTGTCTCAATGGGGAGGCCTGGTTCATCTCTTGATGATACACATATACATATAATATACATATATAACATATATGTATGTGTATATACATACATGTATATACACATACATATGTATATATATATATATATAAATTGTAGAGCTTCGCACACCGGCGATGCCTGTAGGGGTCGGGGGAGGGAAAGAGAGAGGGGGATTTCATCTGAACTAGGTAAGAATCGTCATTGTCGTCGTTGTCGTTGTTGTCGTCGTCTTCGTCGTCGTCGGCGGCGGCGTCGTCGTCGTTGTTGTTGTTATTGTTGTTATAGCTGTTGCTGCTTGGTCCTCTTGTCGTTGTCGTTGTTATCTTTTTGCAAACCCCCCCAAAATCGTCAAACTGACGGTTTTTGCAAACCCCCAAAAAGCGTCAAATAGGCGGTGTTTTCGTGATTTTTCACGTTCTCAGAACAAAAAAACACGGTAAATACCGATGTTTTTGGCTCCGCGCCAACGCAAAACCGCAACCATGGTATTTACGAGGTTTTGAACCTCTGCTAGCAAAAATCATAGTACCAAAAAATTATGAAAACTTGACCAAAAATCGACGAAAAACGCCCAACAAGGACCTCCAAAACGCATCTTCGAATTTTACCCTCTTTTTCCCACCCCGAACCCCGAAAAACGCGAAAACCCCAGCACCCTGAAGGATTTTCGAAAAGGTCGGCGGCACCGGCGCGCCCCCGGGTAGCTAAAGCTATGCTTAGCAACCACCACCATACGGCGAGGCATCGCCGGATTGGCTGACGCCCTGACCCCTTTAGAAAATGTGCAGCGTCCTGCGGCTTGGGTTGCAGCCTTGCAGCCTTGGCGACAGTGACGAACGCTGTGGCAGAACGGTTGCGGCCTGTAAGGGGTGCCGAAACGTGCCACATGGCAGTGTTGAACCGCTATAGAAACAGTGAAGGGCTTGTTGTTCAGCGGCTTGGGTTGTAGCCCTGCAGCCTGGGCAACGGTGCCTAACACTGCAGCGGTGCCGAAACGTGCCACATGGCAGTTTCGAATCGCGTCTACATGGCAGTTTCGATATGTTTCGATCCCGTATACAAACAATGAGTATGGATATGGAACATGTTTGGAGATGTCGCACACCTGCGGTGATCCGGACGACCACTCGCTTGTACACCCCGATTTTCACTCGCTTGTACACCAACTTTTTCCCTCGCTTGTACACCCATGAAAATCATGACCATGATCATGGGGATCATCATCATCATCATCATCATCATGATCATGATCTCAAAAACAGCACCGCCTTGACAATCAGCATCAGCATCAGCATCATCATCAGCATCATCATCGTCATCAGCATCATAATCATGATCTCATCCACAGCACCACAGCACCACCATCAGCATCAGCATCAGCATCTTCATCATCATCATCATCATCATGATCTCATCCACAGCAGCACAATCAGCATCAGCATCAGCATCAGCATCATCATCATCATCATCATCATCATCATCATCATCAAATCATCATCACCATCATCATTACCATCATCATTAACATCATCATCATCATCGTCATCATCATCATGATCATGAAAGAGCAGTGCCTGTATCTGCAAGACAGCAAGAAAGATGATGAGGTTGCTGTGAACATGAACGTTATTGTCCCACCCCACCCCACCGGCATCTGATTATGAAAGAGCAGTGCCTGTGTCTGCAGGACAGCAAGAAAGATGATGAGGTTGCTGTGCCTGTGTGTGCACAGGAACATGAACGTTATTATCTCACCCCGCCCCACCCCACCCCACCGGCAACTGATCATGAAAGAGCAGTGCCTGTGTCTGCAGGACAGCAAGACAGATGATGAGGTTGCGGTGCCTGTGTGCGCACAGGAACATGAACGTTATTGTCCCACCCCGCCCCAGCCCACCCCATCGGTAACTGATAATGAAAGAGCAATGCCTGTGTCTGTACGGGAGCAGGAAAGATGATGAGGTTGCGGTGCCTGTGTGTGCACAGGAACATGAGCGTTATTGTCTCGCCCCACCTCACCGCACCCCCACAGGGAGCAATGATGAAAGCGCAGTGACTATGTCCAGAATGAGAGATGATGAGGGTGCACAAGTGAGTGACATTTTGCTCACTGGGCGCGCAAGTGAGTGAGGGTGCGCAAGTGAATGAAATTTCGGGTGCGCAAGTGAGGGTCTGGCCCGGTGATCCCGGGCGCCGCCCCGCCTAGGCCAATGCTAGGCAGGGGTCGGCGGGTATATACATATACATTCATTGATGGGGAAACAGATGTTGTAAGCCATAAATTCAAATGGGACACCTTTTGAGTGAAACTTTTCATGACTCCATGATTCTTCTGAAGTATGTGGATCACAATATGAGACGATGGCAATTGTGTTGTTCTGCTCAAGTTTGTCGACTTCAGAACAAATCGGCTTTATGCAGGACACTTTCCGAGCAGACTGCTGAATTGACACTTTTTTCTCGGCTGCGCAGAGGACTTCTCTTCTTCGGCTTTTGGTGTGGCATTGCATGGCTGGGAAAGAAATGGGGCGAGTACGAGATGGCCATAGTCGAAAGGCTGGGTTCAAATTTGTGGCCCAGGCTTTCCAACTGCCAAAATACCCCAAGCGTTACTGCCTTTTTACAGTTTTCTGGCATGCAAGAGTTGATCACCTCCTCTCCGGAGAAGTTTGGGGCTGGGTCATAATTGTGCACCAAAATGGAATGGTTACTGCCAAAAAATCTCCACGTCTGCATGTCCCAACGTCTGGAATTTGACTTAATCCCAATCTTTCCCGTCATTTTGATGCGTCAAGGCCCAATTCTTGTTGGTAAACACCTCATTTAGGATGCTATCATGTTCTGTTGGTTAACATCACATAGCTTGTTAAAGCTGTAATAACTATAAAGTAAAAATCACAGAATTTATCCTCTTCTTGTTGCACAAATTTCTAAAGTATATAGTTATAGTATATAACTACAGCAACTATAGTAACTATAGTAACTACAACAACTATAGTAACTATAGCAACTATAGTACCTAAAGTAACTATAGCAACTATAGAAACTATAGCAACTATAGTAACTATAGCAACTAAAAAACTATAGCAACTATAGTAACTATAGCAACTATAGTAACTATAGTAGCTATAGGGACTGCAGTAACTATAGCAACTATAGTAACTATGGCAAGTCTAGAAACTATAGCAGCTATAGAAACTATAGCAACTATAGTAATTATAGCAACTATAAAAACTATAGCAACTACAGTAACTATAGTACCTATAGCAACTGTAGAAACTATAGGAACAATAGAAACTATAGCAACTATAGTAACTATAGCAGCTATAGTAACTATAGTAAGTATAGTAACAATAGCAAGTATAGAAACTATAGCAGCTATAAAAACTATAGTAACTATAGCAACTATAGAAAGTATAGCAATTATAGTAACTATAGGAACTATAGAAACTACAGCAACTACAGCAACTATAGGAACTATAGAAACTATAGCAACTATAGTAACTATAGCAACTATAGGAACTATAGTAACTATAGTAACTATAGCAACTATAGCAACTACAGCAGCTAAAGGCACTATAGCAAGTATAGAAACTATAGCAGCTATAAATTACTTTACTTCGTGTGATCTCCACCATGACATTTATCGATTTGTTACTGGCAAATCTTCTGGCATTCTATCTGACATATCTTCTGGCATTCTATCTGGCATATCTTCTGGCATTCTACCTGGCATATCTTCTGGCATATCATCTGGCATTCTATCTGGCATTCTATCTGGCATATCTTCTGACATCCTATCTGGCAAATCTTCTGGCATTCTATCTGGCAAACATTCTGGCACTTTATTTGGCATACCTTCTGGCATTCTATCTGGCATATTTTTTGGCATATGTTCTGGCATATATTCTGGCATTCTATCTGGCATATCTTCTGGCATATCTTCTGACATCCTATCTGGCCGTTGAGGTCCAGCGGTGCTCACTGAGCTCGGAGGGTCCCAGGTTGAGGTCCAGCGGGTGCTCACTGAGCTCGGAGGGTCCCGGTCCAGCAGGTTGAGGTCCAGCGGTGCTCACTGAGCTTGGAGGGACCCAGCTTGAGGTCCAGCGGTGCTCACTGAGCTCGGAAGGTCCCAGGTTGAGGTCCAGCGGTGCCCAGTGCGCTCAGACCCTTGCAGTTGAGGTCCAGCAGTGCCCACTGCGTGCGGAAGTTGGCGAAGAGCTTGGCGAAGAGTTGGCAAGGCGGAAGTGGACATGGAAGTGGAGGCAGAGGTGGTGGAGGAGAAGGAGGAGGACGAGGAGGAGAAGAAGAAGAAGGAGGAGGAGAAGAACAACTCTGATAAAATCTAACAACCCTCACCTGGCAGGCGGGGAAAAACTATAGTAACTATAGCTACTATAGAAAGTATAGCAACTATAGTAGCTATAGGAACTGTAGAAACTATTGCAGCTATAGTAACTACAGCAACTATAGAAACTATATTCACTATAGAAACTATAGAAAGTATAGCAACTACAGCAGCTATAGAAACTATAGCAGCTATAAAAACTATAGTAACTATAGCAACTATAGAAAGTATAGCAGCTATAGTACCTATAGGAACTATAGCAACTACAGTAACTATAGCAAGTATAGAAACTATAGCAGCTATAAAAACTACAGTAACTATAGCAACTATAGACAGTATAGCAACTGGAACTATAGCAACTACAGCAGCTATGGTAACTATAGCAAGTATAGAAACTATAGCAGCTATAAAAACTATAGTAACTATATCTACGATAGAAAGTATAGCAACTATAGTAACTATAGGAACTATAGCAACTACATTAACTATAGTACCTATAGCAAGTATAGAAATTATAGCAGCTATAAAAACTAACTATAGCAACTATAGAAAGTATAGCAACTATAGTAACTATAGGAACTATAGCAACTACAGCAACTATAGTAACTATAGCAACTATAGAAACTATAGCAACCATAAAAAAACTATAGTAACTATAGCAACTATAGAAACTATCTATAAAAACTATAGTAACTATAGCAACTATAGAAAATAGAAACTATAGCAGCTATAAAAACTATAGTAACTATAGCAACTATAGAAAATAGAAACTATAGCAGCTATAAAAACTATAGTAACTATAGCAACTATAGAAAATAGAAACTATAGCAGCTATAAAAACTATAGTAACTATAGCAACTATAGAAAATAGAAACTATAGCAGCTATAAAAATTATAGTAACTATGGCAACTATAGAAAATAGAAACTATAGCAGCTATAAAAACTATAGTAACTATAGCAACTATAGAAAATAGAAACTATAGCAGCTATAAAAACTATAGTAACTATAGCAACTATAGAAAATAGAAACTATAGCAGCTATAAAAATTATAGTAACTATGGCAACTATAGAAAATAGAAACTATAGCAGCTATAAAAACTATAGTAACTATAGCAACTATAGAAAATAGAAACTATAGCAGCTATAAAAACTATAGTAACTATAGCAACTATAGAAAATAGAAACTATAGCAGCTATAAAAATTATAGTAACTATGGCAAGTCTCGATTTCTTGTTGTACATGCCATTTCTCGGGGCCCAGGGAGATGGCCGAACCGCGGCGCTACCGAAGGAGGTCTGAGGAGTAGTACCTATCGTCGGTCTGGCCGTGGAAAAGTTGGCCAGACAAAAGCATCAGGGGTTTTAGGATGATTTATGGAAACCCCATATACATAGAACAAATATATGTATACTGTATACATCTATATATACATATATTTAATCATATATATATATACATACATACACACATTTTGGAAACATAGATTTAAACACCCAAAATGGAACAAACATCAACAGAAATGTTCCGATCCGCCAACAAAAAACTGGAATTTGAATCAACCGACATGTGACTTTTGCCAACATAATTTTGACTGATTCAGCAACAAAACTGCAGGATTCGCAGCACCGTCCAGAGAACCTTCCCCCAAGAGTTTCAAGAATAAAGTCAGTCGTTGGAGATTCCGGTCTCAACCTTTTTATTCCCTAAACAAGGTGTCCACACTGAGGGGTTCTTAGGGTAGGAGTTAAGACCGGGGTTAGATCAGGGTGCTCCATCTGCTCCCCGGCATTTTTTCTGGAAATTCTTGCATGCTTGTGAGATGTCCATGTGCATTTCGACTGTGCAGGCTCGCACAAAACGGTTGTCCCGGTCCTGGGGCGCGGCATTTTTTATTGTAAATTCTCGCATAAAATAGATATACCTTTGTACATATATAATATACACATATGCATATGTACATATAAACATACTTTGGGGGACACCATATTTTGGGACAAACAGGCAACTTTCTGCAACTAGGTGGTCTTGGTAGAGCCACCTGGCTCCAAAAATGGGGACGGTTTGGGATACCCTAAGCTACCCATTTCAAATGGGCAAAATGACGAATATCTTTTGGAAGTAGGGACACCTACATAATTTCTGGGTTTTCTAGGTCTGCAGCCACTTGTTCTTTTTATCAAGGGAGGTCTGAAGCGGAAGACCTTGCAGCCCCTATCAGCTCGAAAAGGGACATTTTTAAGACCGTGCCACAGTTCCCCCGCAGAGAGGTGCTGAGTTTTTTCCTTTTCGTTTGTGCTGACTGTTGACTCACTTGGTTCACAAAGAGCTTCCTGGTTTTGCAATGCACTTGTAACATTGCATTTGTAACATTGCATTTGTAAAGGTGTTTGTGTATGGAATTGTCTTCTAGTTCTACATGTGATTATATGTGTATTCCATTTCTGCACGGATGTGATGTAATCTATTCGGATACATGCACAAATACACCATGGGTGCATATATTTAGTACATCCCCCAATCACAGTCGATCTCCATCGGTGGCATGCGGACCAGGTCATGGCCGAAGCCGATGTTGCTGTGGCCACTGCTCAGCAGTTGATGTTTGTTTCTCACCAGATTAGATTAGTTATTCGCATGTATGGACTTCATGATAAGTTTTTTGAGGAATTTTGAACCCTGTCAGAAGCCTACCCAGTCTGGCAATTCGTGTTCGATTCACAGCTTGGAAAACTACAGTTTCGGATGAGTTGGAGGTGTTTCTAAAGAACTATCCATGATGCATTTTACAATATGCGGGCATGTTAGGATTTGACAAGCGGGCCCTCAGCAAAAAACAACATGCCAATTCAGAACTCCGCGGCATTTGAGAATGCGCTATGATGTTGCCATCCAAAAGTGCTGCCTGTGTCCTGCAAAGTTTGCACATAGATCAGCCTTGAATTTTGTGGCCCCATGCAACAATAGTTGGGCATCTTCACCTGGTGATCCACAAGTTGCTCCTCAATTTTTACAAGCAAGCTTTAAGAACGGAACAGCGCGATTTTAATATGGATACTGCTATTTTTCGGATTCCATTTTTGATTTTGATTGCGTACATAGCTGCTCACTGGAGCTCCATGTTCTTACCACAAGCGGAGAACACATTTGGGTGTTCCGAATGCCCGAGGGTATGTTACGTGTAAAAAAACAAGTATGTCAGTATGCATGTATGTATGTATGTATGTAATGTATGTAATGTATGTAATGTATGTGATGTATGTAATGTATGTAATGTATGTAATGTATGTCATGTATGTAATGTATGTAATGTATGTAATGTATGTAATGTATGTAATGTATGTAATGTATGTAATGTATGTATGCATGTAATGTATGTAATGTTATGTAATGTATGTAATGTATGTAATGTATGTAATGTAATGTAATGTAATGTAATGTAATGTAATGTAAGTATGTAATGTAATGTAATGTAAGTATTTAATGTAATGTAATGTACTGGAATGGAATGGAATGGAATGTAAGTATGTAATGGTATGTAATCGTATGTAATGGCATGTAATGGTATGTATGTAATGGTATGTATGTAATGGTATGTATGTAATGGTATGTATGTAATGGTATGTATGTAATGGTATGTATGTAATGGTATGTATGTAATGGTATGTATGTAATGGTATGTATGTAATGGTATGTATGTTTATGTAATGGTATGTATGTAATGGTATGTATGTAATGGTATGTATGTATGTATGTATGTATGGTATTGGTATGGTATATGTATGGTATTGGTATGGTATTGGTATGGTATTGGTATGGTATTGGTATGGTATTGGTATGGTATTGGTATGGTATTGGTATGGTATTGGTATGGTATTGGTATGGTATTGGTATGGTATTGGTATGGTATTGGTATGGTATTGGTATGGTATTGGTATGGTAGGTAGGTAGGGAGGTAGGTAGGTAGGTAGGTAGGTATGTATGTATGTATGTAATGTATGTATGAAAGTAATGTAATGTAATACAGCCTAATGTAACGTAATGTAATGCAATGCAATGTATGTAATGTAAATATGTATGTATGGATGCATGCATGCATGCATGCATGTATGTATGTATCTTATGTTATGTTATGTTGTGTTATGTTATGCTTTGGTATGGTGTGTATCGTATGTTATGTTATGTTATGTGATCTAAAGTAATGTAATGTAATGTGATGTTTGGTTATGTTATGTTATGTGATGCAAAGTAAAGTAATGTAATGTAATGTGATGTGATGCGATGTGTTGTAATGTAATGTAATGTATTGTATTGTATTGTATTGTAATGTAATGGAATGTATGTATGCATGCATGCATGGATGTATGTATGTATGTATGTATGTATGTATGTATGTATGTATGTATGTAACCCCTTTCTAAAATTTGGGTCCGACAATATCCCCCCACTCATGCTGAGGCCAAGCCAACACCAGGTTTCTGGGACAGCTTCGCATGCTGTGCCAGCAGGCGGAAGTGGGCGACTGGGATGTCCCAGGTGCCAAAAAGGTTTCACAACTCTTAAAGACCGTTTGGTAGTGAAACATGGCGGCAAAATCATCTATAAACGGAACTTTTCTCATCTATAAATGGGTTTTAATGGGGGTTTTATAATCCATACATAACCTTCTGATAATTGAACAGTTGGCTATGGTATAGATGGCCCATGAAATTCGATTATTTCGCTGTCACTTCCATAGCTATGTGAACTTACCGAAGGGCAATCAGGGTGCAGCTCATTTATAGGGCTATACCAGGTTTATTTGTGTTTGAGAGCAGTTGTCTAGGGATAAACATGGATAAACCACACTTACATACGGTTATTGACCACTTTATGCACCTCCAAGTAGGCGTGTGTGTACAATTTGCGACCAAGTGAAACATCTAAAACCGGTACTTTGTGGATGAATTTTCCGTGAAGGAAATAGACTCTCGTGATTTTAAGTCTGTGAAACATGTTCTGAAATCTTCTGGTGGAAAGCCTCGAAAGATACGTCCTCTACCGTGATTGGACTGTATCCTGTTTTGCTGTTTGGATTCAACGTCCGTGAGGCAAGATGAGAATGACGTCCGGGAGTCCAAGGTTCATCACGCTTGGGGACTGGCTTTAGATGCCTCCAATTGGGATGCCTCAAGCAGAATGACGCACTTGCGGGTTGGTTCCCAACTGCTTTGTTCCTTGCGGCTGATCTCCAAGGCTGAAGGGGTTGTCAGCCCATTGCCACATGATGAGGGCAGACTGTCCAAAGTCGAGGACAGGTCTGGCCAGAGTTGGTTCAGAATGGTAGGATGTTATCATCATTATTATTATCATTATGCACTAATATTCTGATGTTCTTATGATGCTGATGATGATCCCTATTAATATAATAATAAGTATTATTATCAGTATGGAAATTATGTCAAACTTTTTAAGGATGGTCACCTGAACTGATTGCTTTCCGGAGATGATCACCCCAATCATTGGGTGACGTTTACAAGAAAGGAAAGATATTGCGGAAACATCGCCATAGCACCTCGAAAGCCCCTCTCATATCAGTGGTCGGGTCCGGAAACTCTGGGAACCCTACGGGTGGGAAAACAAGAGCAATAAGAGCTATCATCAAACCCACTCAACGGAGTGGCACACGAAATCACAAATCTCTGTTGATAAGTTCGGACACTCGATGGAATTGATTCCATTTCTCTATCGACCGGCCTTCACAAGCATCGCAAGTAATGAAGTATCTTTTTATGTGCATTCCATCCTGGAGTCTTGTACCCTGGTTCATCTAGCATCCTTTCAAGTGACCATTTCATGTTGTGAGATAGGATGATAGGATCATCTTGATGGGGTCGAACCCTTCTAACTTCTATCCGATAGTCTTATGGAGTTGGGTGGAACCTCCCAACAATTTCAGGAAGAACTAGTTGAGCGGCCAGAGACCGAGGCCCGCTTACTGCATCTGCGTTCGTTTGATCTGAAAATGTCGGTACGTTTTACCTGGAACATGGAAAGGATTTGCTGTGTACACAGCTTCTCAACACAGAGTCGGCTTAGTTTGCTGCACACAGTGATAGCCACCGAGTGCATGAGCATTCCGAAAACTGCTGTGAGGAAAACGAGAGCATGAAGTTGGACTCATTCAGTCTTCAACACCAGCTTGGCAGTTTTTGACCAGTGATTTTACAGCCCTCTGATTTGACCAGTGGACTAGTCCACTTTGTTTTGCAGGTCGAAGCTGGCGCAAAGTGCGCATCATGGTAGTTTGGGTCAACGATCTCTTTGGGAACAGTTGATACCCAGCCATGTGGTTCAATAGGCTTGAGCTTTGGTTGATTTGTCTTTGGCTTTGATTGCCTTCATTGAAATTTGACATTAAAGATAAAAAGGATAGGGCCACGTTGTTTGTTTCTGCAGGGGTGTGTTCATCATTCAATTCGTTGAAGGAACAGATCCGTTTAACCAATCCACATTGGGTTACACATTCTTTGCCCGCAACCAACAGCTGCAGCAAAAAAAGATGAAGTGATGCAATGCCTATTTATGCACCAAGAATCAAAAAGAAAACCTGCTTCAAAGATGTTCAAGCTTTAAGTGTTGTAGAACCACCAAGGCCCCAACCCAACTTTAAGGATGATTTTAAAAAAGAAACAGGCCACCAAGGGCCAAAAAACAGGCCACCGAGGGGCACCAAGGGCCAGCGCTTGAGAGGTACAAGGGCCAATGGCTTGGCTCGCAATGCCATGGCAAGGGTGTCTTGACGCGACCGGATGGATCCTCCTATGAAGGATACTTCTCAAGTGCTGCCGGCCTGGATATTTCCGGCCCCGGTTTTATGGTGAAAAACAGGGAAAGATATAGAAACGTCATATACCGTGGGATTGAAACGGGTGATGGTTGGGTTATCACATAGACTAAACTTTTCCAAGCACAACTTAACTCTGGCGGGTGACGGCCAGAATGACTAGGACTGCTGTCCTCCCAATTCAAGGAGCAAGCAAAACTTTGACCAAAATTGGCTGGGCTATGCTGGGCTCTTTTACTCTTGATCCCTAATTAGTTGGGAGATGTTGGGAGGGTCATCCCAATATGCTCGAGAAGCAACGCAGCGAAGTGGACATGTGATCATCCCTCTTGGTGTAGAACTGAGCCTCGCAGCTTTGTAAGTCTGGACTCAGAGCCTTTTTTTTTCGTTGGCCTTGGTGGGAAACCTAGATCATGGTATGAATGAACACATTTTTCTTGCCAAGAATTCACTCAATTCATCTATTTCAACGACCATCCAGCAGGGTTTACGACTGCCAGATGGCCGTGCCCATGGATACGGGAAGTTTAAAGCCGCCAACGGCAATGTCTACGAAGGTGACTGGTACCAGGAGCCCGTTGCATTTCCACATTTCATGGATCAGAAATCTAGAACTGCTCCATGTAGGGATGGGTGAAAAATGGCGAAAATCCATGAAACTCCGATTTTCCATCTGAATGAGGATAATGAGGGGATGTTTCCATACAACTATACTGTGGCAAAACCAAAGCCATGATCCACAATTTACTGTGCCCTAGCGATTACCAGACATGGAGGTAGTGTGCACCAGGTTCTCCTTCACAAAGGGGCGGGGTGATATTGGCATTGACAGTAAATATCGGTTATAATTCCCCAAAAAGATGGAAAGGTAGAGTCCTACTAAAACAGTGGCAAGTTTTCTATCTTTTGGTTACTACAAAATGTCTATGTTTTGTTATTCTCCATGTTTTTTTTTAAAGGTCAAAAATACAGTAGGTGGCTAGCGCTTGCAGCTCACCAGGACCGTGCTCAAGGAGATGGAACCTATGTCCCCTGGCGGAACGAATATCGGCTGCTTCGGTGGTATTTTTGAAGGACATTAGAAGGATGTTCCAGTGACTTTGGGATTATTTTTGGATGGTTTTGATTGCAGTATCTTTTCAAGGGACTGACTGTCCCGTTCTTGAGCCATATGTTACCCGCGGGAAGAGGTTCCACCTCTTGCTGATGCACCCTTGTGACTCGAGGCTTTAGTGGGTTGACTGCTAAGAAAAATACACTGGGGAACCTTGTAACCCAAAGGATTCTAAACCTCAACAATGGACAGTCTGTGAAAGGATCTGGACATCATGGACAGACCATCACAGACCAAAATGGCCACCACGTAGATGACAGTACCAATCCAGTGTCTACCCGAGTCTACCCGATTCCTCTGCCAGACCCATGAAGATGGAAGCACCTATGTGGGACAATGGCTCCAGGCACAATTTTCCGAAGCATCGCAGCTTGCAGCATGAAGAACATCATGGTATCCCGAGTTGTCGCTGTATACTGGCTCTGAGACAAGTGGTCGGGGTTGAGAGAAGTCAAGTGATGATCATAAAGGAGACACTCTTTTGGTGCTGCTCCAAACTGGACGGATGTCTTTTGGTGCTCCAAAGTGGATGGATGAATAAGTCTGAGACACTCTTTTGGGAGTGGTGGTTGATATCACCACAGGAAAACCTACCGGCTTGATTTCTCACCGCCGATGCCTGTAATTGTGCCAGAGCAAATCAGTGGACAACACAGGGAAGGCCTTTGTTGTCCCAAGCTGATTAGCTGGCCAGCACATGATGGGGAGAGGAACTGGGTTTCCCAAACTGTCGACAGCTCAAATCTACTTTCTTTAGTGGATGTTGGGTAAATCCAAGCTGGATTAGGGAGTAAATTCAAGTTGCGACAGGGCCAGATTTGTTGAACTTGCAGATCGGCTGCACGACCAGGATGAAAAGTCTGGCAAGGGAATGGAGAAGTGGGCAGACAGTGGGGAAACCGAGGTGTTCACCCCACCTGGCTGGGAAAATCCTCCGCTTCGAAAAAAATGATTGACAGATTGGATTATGAGAGGGGCGGTGCAAACTGCCCAAGAGATGACGATTGTCAGTTGCGTCACGTTGCAGACATGTGTACTTTTATTTATGTACGCTACGTTGTATTTTCCCTCTTGAACAAGTTCAAGATCACCAATTTTTTCTGCTGGAATGGTGTTTAATTAGCGGCTGACCTTCCCAATTTCCAGGATCAGGATGACGGCACTACAGCGAAAGATCTGAGGCTCCAAATACGAGGGCGAGTTCCTTCAGGGAAGCAAGCACGGCCCACTCCCAAGCTTGGACAGATGGCTGGAGCAAGCTCACAATCATCGCAATATCACTAGTTTTTTTCTCGATGAACTATGGAGTTCTTCCGCAACATGTCCTCTATATAGTCATCAGTATCCAAAGAAACAAAGGTGTAGCATGCTTTCAAGGCATGCCACCAACATTTTTGTAAGAAGCTGATCAAAATCGGAGGTTTCCTGAAATGGGGGTACCCCTGTAAATCATCCATTGTCATAAGATTTTTCTTTTATAAACCAACCAGCTCTTGGGGATCCCGCATTTCTGGACATTCTCGGACAGCTCTTTCCTGATTGCCAGGTCAAGGTACGTATACTGCCGCCAATGGCAAGGTGGTCTATGAGGTTCTGGGGCCATGGGCATATAGAGTTATCTCAGAATCGGGATACAAAAGCAAGAATTCTTTGTCATCATTTTACTCATTGAAATGGCAAGTTTTTGACATCCACCATTTAGAGACAAACCCTAGGAATCGTTCATTGACTTGGAATCTACTCTTCTGAGTCCGGCTTTTGGGGGACCGGGCCCGTTTTGGATCAAGCTGGCAGCCGTAGCTGCGCCTGAGACCTCAGATGGTTTCAGCTGGTAGCTGCTAGCTGCCAAAACAGACATGACATAGCCGACAACGCCATCATTTCCGGCCCTTCACAGCCTGTACTCGAGCCATAAGCATCACAACCAGCCCGGTTCTTGCGCCCAAGTGGCGCCCATGTTCAGCTCTTAACCCACCTGTGAAACATATCCCAACCATCACCCAACCAGCCGAGGTTCCCTCCCAAAGAAAAACCAAGAACCTTTGGGGTAGCTGGGTAGCTCCCCCAAGCACCGGCCGTGGGCAGCCGATGCCTAGCCCGACTTGCCGGGCTGCGCAGAGTTGGGACTCGGAGTCGATGAAAACACCCGGGGCCCTACGGCAGCGGATCTCTCCTGAGCTTTGGCGGAGATCTTTGGGGGTTGGGGTCATGGGTCTAAGGTGGGTATCCCAAGATTCCTTTCGGATGTCTCAGGATTTTTGTATTTAAGCAGGAAATATGGGAGATGAACCAGCACACAAAGTGAGCTTCTTGGAGCCTGCAAGATGGATGGATTGAACATATGGAAAAAAAGTACCAATATCTGTGGGTGGGGTTGGGGACTCACAAGAACTGTGTCTTCTTCCAATTTTAAGATTGCAAGCAGAACTGGAAACGGATCTCGATTACCAAACTCCATGATCGCTGTTCTAGATCACCAGGGTTTCACCCTGAAAAGAGCGGACATTTGGGATTCCCGAAATTCCGCCCATGATTTTTGCAGAGATCTTTCCCGGCTTCCAAGGACCCCAAGGGTCAGAAGCGCGCCGCATCGTTGGGTCGATCCCGTGCACTCACAGTGCCCCAGCCTGGGGAGGCGCAAAGATCGATTGAACATTGTGATGTCAACATATGTAAAGAGCAGTTACGAACCATGGATTCTTGATGATTTCTGACAATTCAAGAAAACACACACACACAAGCTTCTGAATGCTGAAAATTAGATGAAATTACCCGTCTTTATTTCCCGGCCACTTCTCGACATGTGGTTACTTTATGTTACTTTCCTGGGCCACAGCTGCAGCTGACCAATACGGCTAGCACAGGTCATATCAAGACGTCCTGAAGCTTTGCAGGACCTCGGTGTCCACAATGGTCCTGTTGGATTAAACATCTCTATCTCAATACATACAAAGCACTTGTAGATGAAGACATTACGTAGTTGTCGTTTTGGCATGGCACCAGATGTGGTTGAAGGCATCTCCACTTGATGCCATTTTGGCTCAAATGTGTGACATTTTGATCGCGCCACAGGTGGGAGACATATGGACCAGGAGGTGGCGAACCTTCACGCTGTTCCTGAGGAGCCTGACAGTATTCCTTGGGAATGCTGTGGGTGTTGGCTATCGCCTGGGTCGTGGGATACCTCTGTGGCCAGATCCCTAAGCGACCCCACCTGCCGCCTGGCCCATCGGTCGCGGCGTGGGTAAGGCTGACGGGTCGAGCGCTTCGCTTCATCAGAAAGGGACGCTTGGTCTCCTTAGCCTTTAGCAACTACCGGCATACGCGACTCAGACAGGCGTCGGTGACAGCCAAAGCAGCGGCGTCAAGATCTACCAGGCGGCGCACCAACACGCCAGCGGCGCACCAACACGCCAGTGGCTCGACCCCGAGTCCTACACGAAGGGCCGGCCCTGCTGTTGAGTCCAGATGGATCCGACAGAAGCCGAGTTGGCCGCGATCACTGTTTTGGCCGGAGCTATAGAGCTTGGGCCGGAGTGGACGGAGATCTATATGGACAAGCCTGGGAAACGCCCCCAGACAGAGTCAGGGAGGAGTTTGGGACCGCACCGTTGCAGCTGCGAAGATTCTGACGGGCCCGGCAACGGCCAGGGTGGAGTCCTTGCGCCGGGTGTGCCACATCCGCATGGGCCAGGCACCGGACACCCCATGCAGGGGGACCAGCCCCTCCGCAATCGGCTGTGGTTCCTCCGCCCATGGGAGCGGGACCAGCAGTCGCAGCGGGCTCTCGCAAATTCAAATTGTCTGCAATTTTGGACCCCACGTTGGAAGCCGAGGACAACCAAGATCATGGACCAGAATTATTGTACAAAGTTCGGGGACTTTCCAACGAGATAGCGACATCTCCCCAGACCAGTTGGCAGCCGTGGCGCAGGTCATCAAGACTGGGGCAGTGCCATTTGCAGACTTTATAAGTTTGTTCGTCCCACGGCCAGCGTCTCCTCAGGTGCCAGACCTTAAATTCGCCGCCTACAACCTGTCGACCGCTACGGGGGAATGGCAGAAGAAAGAGCAACCGGCCCCACAGATTACCGTCAGATTACCACACCTGGTATCAGTGCTATAAGGTGTTCCGCACCGGCATGTTGCTGCTTGGAAGCGGCCGATGCCGAAAGGCTTGATGCCCGCGGCGGACACATTCGCCCATCGCCCAGGCTAACCAGAGGCTCCGATCGGAACAGCTGGAAAGGCATCCGGCGCGAACTTCGAACAGACCCACAGTTCGGATTTCAGAATTGAATCCATGGTCAGCGTGCTCTGCAAGGGCAGCCCGAGACAGCGACTATTGGCACAGAGAGCTGACTACACCTGCAACACTGTGGTTGTCGAGAAAGCGGGAGCCAGGAAGTGGGGCGACTGCAGTACGCCCGGAAGAGGAGCCCGGAGACAAACCTACGAAGAAGTTGAAGACCCGGGCCCAAGGACACTGCACAGGCGAGGACAAGAGCAGAAAGGATGGAGATCGCTATACACCCACAACCGCAAGGGCATCGAGATCTGTCGCCTGTATGGGGAGGGGAAGTGTGGAACCAAAGCACCCCAAGTGCAAGAGGGATGCGACCTTTGCCTGGGGCCTCACATGTCAAGTGAGTGTCCAGGCTGCTGGCAACTGACCCGCAGGGCCGGCTGGTTCCGATGGGCAACCAGCCATGCAGGGCCACCACACACGCCCCATCAAAGAGGAAGCGATGCATCGAGCTCAAAAAAGCCGAGAACTCCAAGCCCTACAGCCAGTGTGCAGATGGCCGGAGCCAAGACATCGGCTCCGAAGAAGAAGAAGACGGGGGGTTCGGCATCCGGAGCTGGCTCCCAGGATCCCGGACAATTCGCCTCCCTTCCGGAAGTATGGTTACATACTGGAGCTGCGCATCTTCCCCGAACTTCAAGGTCAAACCCATATGATCCTCTTTTCGGGCACGGCGAGAAACGATCTACACCAACAACTCGTGACTCTGGGATGGCGAGTTTGCTCTGTGGACACCGTGCCGCCCAAGCCCACCAACTTGCTGGACGAAGGAGTATGGGCCGAGCTGGAGAAGGACCTCGCTGACGGCATCTTGACGCCGTCTTTGTGGCAAGAGAACCAACTGAGAGAGAAACCACCGCTGAGAGAGAAACCAGTGGGACCACGCCCCACTCAGATCGGTAGATAGTATCGCAGGCTTGCAAAAGAACCAGCTCACCATGGCGGAGCAGAGCCTGCCAACTTAAGGAAGCCAACATCCTGGTGAGCAGGTCAGCCTCGGCCATCATTATTGCCAGGGAGCGCAAGAAGCAATGGGGACTGGAGAACCCAGACCACCCGGAAGACAAGCCATCCTTGTGGTTGATGCACTCCATCAAATCCATCCTGAAGAAGGAGGGCGTGCTCCAGCGCAAGTTCGACCAATGCAGAACGGGCTTGGAGACCACCAAGCCCACAACCATCGCCCATGAGGGAATAGATCTATCAGCGCTACATCAACTTCGTTGCGATCACCTGAAGGTGCAGCAGGAGACAGCCGACGGGAAGAAGTACATGGCGGACCATTCCCTGAAAGCTTTGTGGCCGGAGGTGTCACAGATCAGCAGAGACATCTTGCTGGGCCGCAAGGCCACTTCGTGGGAACAGAGCATCACACCAGCTGTCAGACAAGCCGTCCTCAAGGTGCTGCCGCTCAAGGGGAGCCTCCCAGACAAGGCAGCACGAGCCTCCACTCCGCTGTGCGCCAAAGTTTGCAAAGCGTGGGGAGACCACACCGATGATGCAGACCCACCCTTGCTGGCGAAGTGGCTACAACAAGGGGCTCCGTTGGGGTTCAAGTTCGACTGGCACATTTCCGACACAGTGACGGGCCCCGCGGCCCCACGGCACGAAGAATGCCCCAAGGAGATGACAAGGTCAACAGAAGGCTGGACGAACTACTCATCAGCCGTGGAGGAGGTGGCTGACCTTCAAGAGATGATAGCTGATAGCCGACTACACCAGCCGCGGGTTTTGCCACCTCGTGAACTCCTTCGAGGAAGCCCGACAGGAGCTCAACGAAGATCCCTTTTTGAACAAATTCGGGATGGTTGTGAAATACGAAAAAGGCCAGTATCATCTGGGATATGAAAGAAGCCCGGGCAAACTCAGTGTGCTCACAGGGAGAACGCATCATCTTACCGCGTCTCCCCGACATAGCCATGCACAGCAGCAGCCAACATCTACAAAGCCGAGGACACGCCGTGGTTATATGAATATACCGCCAGGGCCCGATGAGTTCACCACGACGGCAGCCATCCTACGACGGGCCAAGCCACCTACATCGTGTTCGACACAGTGGTGTTCGGCTGTGGCGTATATACGCGCTGGGGGCGGTTAGGAAGGTCGCTAGCTGCGATCGTCCCATCCGCGTCGACATAGATATACGCGGACGACCACTGCTGCATCACTGGAGTCGGCGGCCCACACACTGGCGAAGATACTTCTATGGATTGGCATTTGCGGGCTACCCTATAAAGGTGGAGAAGGCCTGCGGAGGAAAGACTGTCGAATGGATCGGCGCAGTCGTTCGATGCGGCGACAAACAAAGGAGGTCACAGTGACCGTGCCAGAGAAGAAAAGTTCAAACCCTGCGGGAGACGACAGAGAGGATGATCAAAAGGCTGGTCGTGACGTCGAAGGAGCTCAGGGCCTTTGCGGGCTCGCTGTCTTTCGTGGCAGGGCTAGTTCCCCATCTTCGGCCGTTCCTCTCCAGCACCTGGGCGGCACCGAGCTATAGAGCCAAGCATTCTGGAAAGCTGAAACACACGAAGAGGTTCAGGGCGGCGCTGGGCTGAAGGGAGAACCGGCACACTGGCTAGGACACTTTCGTCAAGAGAGATGCACATCGAGGCCGAGATAGTCACAGACGCTTGCCCATTCGGAATGGCTGGCATCCTCCGGATCCAACATCGGGCGGTCGAATTTTTCATGACCAACATAGGTCCCGAACTGTTGGACAAATTCAAGGCCCAAGGCCAAACGAGCCATTTTGGTATAGCGGCACGCCTTTGGCTGAAACGCCTGGGGTATGGTGCCACGGTTAGGGTCAAGACAGACAACCTGGCCACAGTCCTGATGATGACCAAAGGAAAGGGTAAAACACCCGAAATGAATGTGGTGGCCAGAGAATTTTCTTTCGACTCTGCCACCAAGGAGTGCGGGATACATTGGTTCGAACAGATTTACGGAGTCACCAATGTAGAGGCAGATGCTTTGTCACGGCAATTCGTGCCGTTCCCGTAACCCTTCCCTGACACTTTGAAGCATGCTGCACACAGGGAAGTGAACTTCGGGCACAGCCGGGACGCTCTCGGTCGTGCGTTGGTGGTAGGCCCTCTGTCCACTCCGGCTCCTCCCTTAGGCTCTAGATGTCAGGTTGGGGGGTTTCGGTCTTTGTTTGTTCTGTGTTTTACCCTTGGTTATCCTTGGTTTGATTTGTGGATGTTTCTTTACGAACTGAGGCTTGCAGATGACCAGGTTCAAGAGATCCCTGCAGGGCAAATATTGCCCAGCGATAGCACCGACTCGGAAAGACAAGGTGCCGAAGTGGGAGCCCGCCTTGCATGAAGGATTCGCCATTTCGGTTCCACATCCTTCCGTTGGTGTGCCAACGGAGACAGATGCCAACATGGCGAGAAGGGGACCGGAGGCTAGACCTTACACAAGGGGCTCGCTGGAGCAAGCCATGCAGTTTGCGCAGTCACCCACAGCATGCCAGACGGCGCTGCTGGATGAGTCCATGGCTTCAACGAAGCGGCGAAGCAGGTGTTCATCCGCGAGGGAGGAGAGTGGTCGGCCCAACTACGTCAGGCCCAGGGCCCAGGGCGGCGATTCGCAGTTGCAAGCGGAAAAACAGGCAAAGGGCTTTCCCATGGATCAACTCTGGAAGATCCAGGGAGCCAATCCGCTTGCCAATGGGAGGGCCAATGCATCCTGGCAGATCCGCGCTGTTGGCAGCGTGGTGGCTCCTCAGGGAGATCGAAGCCTTGCAGGCTAGGCGAAAGCACACCGTCATTGACTTCCAGCAGAAGAAGGTGACCTGGCGGCTACCCTCTTCCAAGGCAGATTGGAAGGCACTGGGCCCTGAGAGAGCGCGCAAATGTTGTTGCGCATTCTCCACGCGGGATCTGTGCCCTTTCCACGCAATGGTAGAGCACCTTAGCAATCTCGCCGAGGACCTTGCGCAGACACTGGGACTGGGGCTGACACACCCCCAACGGGGCAAGATGCTACACCAGAGTGACAGGAGCGATCCACATGGCCAAGAACAGCATCGAACTTTGGAGAATCCAATTGTTCGGCAGATGGTCAAGCGAAGCTTTCTTACTGTATATCCGGGATGCCCCTGTCAGTCAACTCGACTCGACCTGGCTGCAGAAAGCAGAGCAAAGCTGTCCATACAGGCTGCCCAGAGTCAACTTCAGGACCTACTACGACGAGTATAGAGAGTCAGAAGCTGCAACTACGCGATCATGTTGCACTCCCTTCACCAAGGATCCCACGGACTTCGAAGCAGCATCCGATACCGAAACTACCGCCGAAACTCTCCGGCCCCATGGTGAGGAATCGCAACGCCGCAGGAGGAAAGATTCATCCGGCAGCCAAGGGAGTGGCGTACACGCTTTGCATTGGAGGCAACGGATTATGATTTTGCGCAGGAGGCTCCAGACAAATTCAAATGTTTCAAATGTTTTCCCGAACTTCGACATAAGCCACGAAGTTCCTCCTCCAGCACATCTAGCCAGGACCCCAGTACCCTCGCAAGCGCATCATAAGATGCATGTGGGCCAGATCAGCTTTCTTTGTTGTGTTGATGAGCAGATCAAAGTGGGTGTAGACAGTTCCCTGGTGCTCAGACACAAAATATGTCTGGGTAACAGGAACTGACTTGCTCGACCAACTTTGAAAATAATTGATCTGGTGGGTTGAGGGGATACATCGATGAGTGTCTTGTCGATGAAGACATTACGTAGTTGTCCTTTTGACATGGCACCAGATGTGGTTGAAGGCATCTCCACTTGATGCCATTTTGGCTCAACGGGTGCCATTTTGATCGCCCGCCCAGCCCACAACCTGGGTATGGGTGTAGACAGTTCCCTGGGTGCTGAGACACAACATATGTCTGGGTAACAGGAACTGACCTGCTCGACCACCTTTGAAAATAATTGATCAGGTGGGTGGAGGGGATACATGGATATTTGTCTTGTCTGCATATGTAAACTTGTAAATATAATATATACTGTATGAATCTATATACACATAATACGGAAGGTTTGCATTCATCTTAACATATCCCAGCTCGTGGCTGAAATTTCAGGACCCAAATCGCTCTCAGTCAGCTCTGCCCACCTCGGTGCGTCAGGTGCGGGTCTTGTTGGCCACTGTTTATATATGTATATATCTGTATATATCTGTAAATATTAAATAAATAAATAAATATATATATATATATGTAAATGAATGTATGCACACATATGTATATATATATATGTACTTATGCATGCATCACCCAAGCCGCAAAAAACACAGAGTGTGGATATTGTATCCGGTTTTGAATTGGGATGTTGACCAGCAAGGTGGAACCAAGCAGATGGAGGTAGAACCATTTTTCCCCAGCATTGAGCACATAGCCGCTCTTCTTGCCACGAAAGGATTCACTGCTAGACACCAAGAGCTTCATCCAATTTTCCACGAGAAAGGGTAACAAATTCGGAAACGGGGTAAAACTTTCAACTTGCATTGTTCAGCGTCAAGTTCGGGGTAGGGTCATTCGTTTTAAGACACTTTCGGGGGTTGTTTTTCCTGGGAATTATTTGTGGCAGAGAGTGTGCTAGACCTCAGCTGTTCTAGAATATAACCATCTACCATATTGGTTTGATCCAGACTATGCCGCCGGATAGCCACCGACCTCACCGCTTGTTGCTTCGACCACCATCGCGGATGACGCGATGCCATACAATGCCTGAATGATTGCACTATGGATGTCCCAATTCCAATTTACTCTATTGCTGTCCATTAGTCTTCCATCTGGGCCAGGGAAACTTCCCCTGGTGGATGAGCTGCACATCTTGGTCCTTTAAACTCTCGATTTGGGTGGTGTTTTACCTCCCGCTTTGGCTAGTTCAAATCATCATGTTTGGTTGGTTACATCCCCATTTTGGCTGGTCGAATCCCTATACTTTATGCTTAAATCACAATTTTTGCTGGCTGAATCCGAGGTCTCAGTATTTGCAGCGCTCAAGCGGTTACCCAGCCCATTGCCTTTCAAGGCTGGGAACTGCAATGAAAAAAGGGAACTTTGAACCACCAAACATATGTGGATTTCACCAGCAAGAATAGGGAACTCATGGGATTTGGCTTAAAGAGGAATGTGTCTCCAGCAAACAACTCGTAGGGTTGACGCACCAAAATGGAGGAAACTTTTGGGATTTCACCAGCAATCTTGCAATGTCAACGGGCAAAATTGGGGCGACGATAGGATGATCCGAATGGTCTCACCAATGCCGAGGCTTTCTCTTGGACGCCCTCCAACTGTGTTTGAGTTTCTCTACCCGAAAAACTTAAGGAAGAGAAGACTCACCCGCGAGAACGTTACGTTTCGTACTTATGTAGAAATGAGGGATTTCCATTTCCATGATGTTTCTGGGCCGTCCGGTTTCTAAATGTAAACTGGCTGGGACTTGCAAACCTGGATCGGAGTTGGCGGATGGAGTAGAGGTCCGCAGTGGGAACAACGGATGCCAGCGTTGATGCCACATGTTTTTCATGGCAGCAACAAAGGATGGAGATTTTCTATACCCCCTCCATTTCATTCATTCCTACCTGGACAGGTTGAAAATCCCGCGCTGGCCGAGCCTCAGCCGCACTGGAGTTGGTCACCGGATTGCTTCCGACGTTTTTTCGGATGTTCAGTCGCTAAGGATGAGACTCCTCAGCTCCCAGAGGCGTCAATCAAGAACGTCAGTGACTGGAAGCTCTGTCTTGCTTCTGGAACTTGCAACCATTTGCGAGTTGTAACCAGGTGCTGAAATGTCATCAAACATGGGGGCATGGTGCCCAAGTCGCCTGAAATGTCCCAGAAACCTCACACATAGCCTTTCTCTTCTATCCACAGAGACAGAGATGTTTGAGAATTCTGCGAATATGCAGCTTTGGAATCGAATTCGTCCAATGGATGATTGAAAATGGTTGAAGCATGTTGAAAATCTATTGCGCTGGCTCCTTCCAAATGCCACGAAGACTTGGGGCTGGTTTTGACGAGTTTCTTTAAAGGCCACAGTGTCTCACTGCTGACCCAACCCTTTAAGGAACGAGGAGATCGAAGTTGGCGCCGACGAAGCGAAACAAAGGGCCAACGACGAAGCTGCTGGGAGCGAAACCCTATAAGATTATTGAGATTGGGGGATACACAGCAAAACAGTTTTACCAATGTTTTACCCTTTTACTGTCAAAAACCGATTGGTAAATGCATGACAAACATCTCTGGCATAGGGGGTGTTTGTGTTGACAACTGAAGCGGGTGCTGCATTTTATCTAAAGCATTTATTCATTCCAGTCATCACCTGGTGGAAAGGAACACGTTCCTCACGCTAAACACGGTTTGCCCGGCCTCAATTGAGAACGCAGCAAAATGAGAACGCGCAGTTTCAGACGAATGTCTACGCGGTTTTGGGTCCACCCGGAAATCATGCTTGCAGTCACTGGGGATGATATGTTTGATATGTTTATTTGTATCCATCGCCGTGATGATAGACATCCCTTAGTCGCACCCGAGAAAATCTCCGCCCAGATGAAGCAGGGTCATAGGGTTAGCATGGGTGACCATCCAGGTTGGTGAGTTCCCCAACTTGGGTTCGTGCATGGTGGGTGCTGGTAAATTCTTCCCTCTATTCGTGGTTGTGTGTCTTTGCTTCTTGAATGCCAGTTGTTTTTTTGGTATGACTTCCTGCCCTTTGGTCGGTTTAAATCTCACTTTTCTTGGTTCAAAGAAAACAAGAGCTCCGTTTTTTTTCAATTCAAAATCCATTGTGGCCAAAGGCGCCCATTTTTTGCCAATTCCCATGCTGTGGGGATACCCAAGGCTACAACGCCATCTCGAAGCCCCAAGGGCGAACGAACACGGCGCGTGTCCTTCGCGAAGGCCAAGGGGCTGATGTGTCATGAGTTCACATTCGGGAGTTTAAAAATATCGGGCGTTCACATGGCAAGAAATGACTTTCACATGACTTTCACATAGCAAGACTTTCACTGGCTTGACTTCAATGTGTAGCCTGGATATAGGTAAGTTAGATGTGGAGGACCCACCTAGGGAACGCAGCTGATTTTAGAGTTTTGGATCCATAAAATGGGGGTTCAACAAATCACCCAATTTTTCTGGGTCAGTTTGGTTTCAGGTAAATGGTGATTCTTTAGGTACTGGTAGTCAAAGGAAGTTTGAAGGAACTTCCGTGTTACGGATGTTTAAGATGGCCAAGCATGAATGGAATGGAATGGACTGGTTTGGAATGGATTGGATTGGAATGGATTGGGTTGGAATGGATTGGAATGGAATGGAATGACATGGCATGGCACGAAAGCTTCCAGTTTTAGATTTTGATGGACGTCTCGCACGAAAGCTTCTCTTTCACATCAGCAGCTTTCAGATTTTGAGGGACAACTCGCACGAAAGCTTCGTTTTCACATCTTGCACTTTCACTTTTTGAAGGAGGTCTCGCACGGAAGCTTCGTTTTCATATCTTGCGCTTTCACTTTTGAAGGAGGTCTCGCACGAAATGCGTTTTTGAGAGATAGCGGCTGCACGCAATGCTGTGTTTTGCAGGACAGAACGTGTCCCGGAAGATGGATGCGGAAGCTTGTCCGGCGGGCGGTTGCGGAACACTCTCGTTTAAACCGGGGTCATTTTCGGATCAGCCCCGCGATGGAACTGACAGTTCAGGCTTTATTTTCGCAATTTGACCTTACAAAATTTGAAGGAGGTCTTGCGGGAAAGCTTTGTTTTCACATCTTCCACTGTCACTTTTTGAGGGAAGTCTCGAACGAAAACTTCGTTTTCGCATCTTCAATTTTCAGTGTTTGAGGGAAGTCTTGCACGAAAGCTTCGTTTTCACATCTTCAGCTTTCACTTTTTGAAGGAGGTCTCGCACGAAAGCTTTACTTTCACATCTTAAACTTTCACTTTTTTCAGGGAGGTCTCGCACGAAAGCTTCGTTTTCACATCTTGCACTTTCACTTTTTGAAGGAGGTCTCGCACGAAAGCTTAGTTTTCACATCTTGCACTTTCACTTTTTGAAGGATATCTCCCGCGAAATGCGTTTTTGAGAGATAGCGGCTGCACGAAATGCTGTGTTTTGCAGGACAGAACGTGTCCCGGAAGATGGATGGGGAAGCTTGTCCGGCGGGCGGTTGCGGAACACTCTCGTTTAAACCGGGATCATTTTCGGATCGGCCCCGCAGTGGAACTGACAGTTCAGGCTTCGTTTTCACCATTTGAACTTTCCAAGTTTGAAGGACGCCCCGCACGAAAGCTTCGTTTTTGCATCTTCAACTTTCAAAATTTGAAAGAAGTCTCGCACGAAGGCTTTGTTTTCACATCTTCCACTTTCATTTTTTGAAGGAGGTCTCGCACGAACTCTTCTGTCACATCTTGCATTTTCAATCTTTGAAGGAGGTCTCGCACGAAAGCTTCGTTTTCACATCTTCCACGCTCACTTTTTGAAGGAGGTCTCGCACGAAAGCTTTGTTTTCACATCTTGAACTTTCACTTTTTGAAGGAGGTCTCGCACGAAAGCTTCGTTTTCACATCGTCAGCTTCACTTTTTGAAGGTGTCTCGCACAAAAGCTTCGTTTTCACATCTTGCACTTTTACTTTTTGAGGGAGGTCTCGCACGAAAGCTTCGTTTTCACATCTTGCACTTTCACTTTTTGAGGGAAGTCTCGCACGAAATGCATTTTTTTATTTTGCTGTGCGAGTATTGGAATGGCTGCGTATTGGAATGGCTGCAGCAAGGCTGCGGTTTTGATTTGGTGCTGGTAATTTTCCTTTTAAAATCGCTTTTAAAAACTGCTTCGAAATCTTTTTTTTAGGCTTTGGCATCAAGATTCGGTTTTGGAGCTGCAATTTCTGACGCCGGTGCGCGTAGTTTTGTTGTATTTTGCAGTCTTTGCCGATCGCATTGTAATGGCTGCGTCCAGGCTGGACATCGTAAATCGTATTGGAATTTCTGCATCAAGCCTGCGATAGTGACTTGTCAGCACATTTTCTCAATTTTGGCGCTGGTGATTTTACTTTTAAAGTTCCTTTTAGAAAATGCTTATTTTTTTTTGCTTCAGCGTCGAGATCGGGTCTGTGTAAAAGCTTCTCAGTGTAAATGCTTCTCTGTGAAAAAGCTTCTCTGTGTAAAAGCTGGCTGTGTGTAAAAGCTTCTCTCTGTAAAGGTTTGCTGTGTGTAAAAGCTTCTCTGTGTAAAAGCTTCTCTGTGTAAGGGGTTTTCTGTGTAAAAGCTTGCTCTGTGTAAAAGCTGTCTGTATAAAAGTTGGCTGTGTGTGAAAACTTCTGTATGTAAAGGCTTCTGCGTGTAAAAGCTCCTCTGTGGCTTCTCTGTGTTAGGGCCTCTCTGTGTGCAAGCTTTCTGTGTGCGAAAAAATTCTGTGTAAAAACTGGCTGTGTGTGAAGGTTTTGTGTGTGTAAAAGCTTCTGTGTGTAAGAGCTTCTCTGTGTAAAAGCTTCTGTGTCAAAGCTTCTCTGTGTCTGGCCTTCTCTGTGTGAAAGCTTGCTGTGTGTAAAAGCTTCTGTGTGCAAAAACTTGTCTGTTTAAAAGCTTCTCTGTAAAAGTTTGCTGTGTGTAAAAGCTCTCTGTGTGCAAAAACTTGTCTGTTTCAAAGCTTCTCTGTAAAAGTTTGCTGTGTGTAAAAGCTTCTGTGTGCAAAGTTTTTCTGAGGAAAGGCTTCTCTCTGTAAAAGTTTGCTGTGTGTAAAAACATCTGTGTGTAAAAGTTTCTCTGTGTAAAAACTTCTCTCTGTAAAAAATTGCCGTGTAAAAACTTCTCTGTGTAAAAGCCTGCTGTGTGTAAAATAGTTTGCTGTGTGTAAAAGCTTTCTGTGTGTAACTACTTCTCTGCGTGAAGGCTTGCTGTGTGTAAAAACTGTGTAAAGGCGTCTGTGTGCTGTGTAAATCCTTCTTTGTGTAAAAACTTTCTGTGTGTAAACACTTTTCAGTGTAGGAACTTCTTTGTGTCAAAGCTTGCTGTGTGTAGAAGCTTCTCTGTGTAAAGGCTACCGTGTGTACAAGATTTTCTGGGTAAAAACTTGCTGTGTACAAATGCTTGCTTTGTGTAAAAGCTTGCTGTGAATAAAAACTTCCCTAACTCTGTGTAAAAGCTTCTGCGTGTACAAGCTTCCCTGTGCAAAAGCTTGCTGTGTGTAAAAACTTCTCTGTGGAAAGCGTAGGGGTTGCTTGCTTTGGCGCCGAGATCCGTTTTTGGAGCAGGTTTTGGGCCAGAGGAAAGGGTGAGATGATTTGAGAGTGCGCTGAGAAGAGCTGAGATGAGGTGAGACGAGCTGACAAGAGCTGACAAGAGCTGAGATGAGAAAAGATTCAACATTCGAAAACATGGCGTCAGATTGCCTGTTGCCACGAAGCGCAGGAGGCCTATAGGCACAGCCTTTGCTCCGTTCTATAGGCTATAAGCGTTTCAATTTTGAAATTTCCGCCCCTGGCTTGCCCGGGTACTACTTGTTAATCATTTTTGGTTTTCAATGTTCTTTTTTTAGAATAGGGAGGTACATCGATTGGGGCTTGGATTATACAACCATCCCATTTTTTGTTGTCCAATTTGACCAAAAAACATCTTGGGTTTGCCCAATGGTTGAATCCAATTGCGATGAATCCACTCGGGTGAGATCCAACAGTTTTGCATCATTTTTCCGCCTGAAATTTGTCATGGGCTCCCAGTCGGACGCATCGACGTGAATTTCTTGTGGCTTTAGCAACATGGTTTTCTCTCCAAATTCCATTTGAATACTGCAAGCGAGGGTAATTTTTCGAAGGAACCAGGACTTTAGACAGACCTGTCGCTTTTTGTGGTAGTTCTTGGATGCGCAGGACACCAAGACTCCGAAACCGACTTCGTTAAAGGAATTGCTGTCAAGGGCAGATTCTGAATGAGCCCTTGACATTTGCCAGCTTGCATGTGATCTCATGGCCGCTTGGGGTGCTTGCTGATTTTTATCGGTTGATATGTTGTTTCTTGAGCGCCACGGATTGTTCCAATCTTCGAGATCAAATCCCGATTCATAAACCCGTTTCTTGTTCTGCCTGATATCTTGCGTTGTTCACAAGAACAAACTCCACGGCAAGCACCCTCCCAGTTGCCCCAAGAGATTTTTCAGCCGGTGGGGCGGTACAATCTGAAGTTGCATCGTTCCGCTTGGTGAATCTCCGGGCTCTTCTTTTTGCTCGGCCGCAGAGCGAGCCAACAGCAAGGGACATCGCAAAGTGGACTCGAATTTGGGCTCAGATGGAGTCTAACAGATTCAAGAAAGTTGAGTGCCAGACATTCTGAGGAAAAGCAAAACTTTGTTCCTCTCATTTGAACAGAGATACTTGACTGAACCCCCCAGAACAAAAAATCCTTCCTTCCGTCGGTTGCCAAACACGTCAGTACTGTGGATCAAAATTGGAACCTCCCCTTGGCTGCTTAAGCCAGATAGGTTTTCAAATCATCGCCTTTTATGTCATGGAGTCCCCTGGCCAGCGATCCTTCGCTTCAGATCAAGAATCAGTTGGCGTCTGGGTGTCCCACTTCACTTAGTCACTAGCGCAAGGCATGAATCGTTTGCTCATGTTGAATGCTAGGCTAGAAATATGATTCTGTGGGCCAATTGGTACCTTCCTTTTTTCTTTTCCATCGCCCATCGTGGACAGGGGGGAACTGTGGGATTCTTGGAAGCGACAAATTTTAGGCCGGTGCATGCGATGTTTCCAGGCTGAATGCCCAGCTTCGGCCAAACCTAGACCAGACTCAAGTCTTGTTGCACTAGCAGTTGCGAAAAACCTAGGGTTTCACTTGTTTTTCATCCATTTGGGGACAATGGCAATCGGAAATCCCCTGATAAAAGACCACACGAAACAGCGCATGAACTGGTGCACCCTGAGGAAAGTTGGTCAATTGGACCAGGTCTGCTGGCTTTGGTTGGCTGTCGTCAATGTACAGCATTTGAATACCCCAGCACTGAAGCTATGAGGCTCTTACCAGCAACAATTCGGGTGCAGCAACAATTCGGTTTTACCAGCAAGAAGATGGTGGTTCAAACAGCAAAAAACGTGGCTTTTGGTAGCAAACACAGGAGTGTGACCAACAGCGAACAATGGAGCTAAATTGGTTGTGTTTGCACATACCTACCTAAGCATGATGGGGCCACAAAGACTCAAGTTTGTCAGTGGGATTGAAACCAAGAGGATGTCTGGAACGATTTTGTTGTTTCCTCAGAAGCGGTATTGTGCAACAAGTTGTTGGGATTCTTGAGGCTAGGACTTGCATGAGCAGCTGAAAATAATCTGCGATCATCCGATGTTTTGATCAGAAGCTTTCTGACGTCTCAGACTTATTTGATGACCCATTTCTGAAGCTCGAAATGACCAACAGGCTGCTTTCTGCTTTAATGCCATCGTCCCCCAAAGCTGTTGAACTTGCAAGAAACTCAAAAAGATTTGCTGGAAAGGTTTTAAGGTTTTGGGGCTCCAATTCGCACTTCGCGGCAAACAGAACGCGAGCTAGATCAGTGACGTGATCATCAGAACGTGGCTTTCTGAAATTTACCACGGTTTCCAAGTGCGTCTCTGGCTTTATTCAGAAGAGTTAATGCAGTAAACCCAACAACACACCTCCCGCCGCAAATGATTGGTACAGCCCATTTCTGGTGATTTTGAGTTTTGTTTCTTGATCATCACATTGCCAATTTTTTTGTCGGATAAGATGCCGAGTCTGGCAGCTGCTGTGGGGGATCAAGTGTGACGAGCAGCCGAACCGCGCTGGCAGTGCAGCGTCGATTCGTTTCTTGCACTGCCCAGCAGTAGGAGGACTACAGGCTGAGGATGGGTTCAAGACCTAAGGGTTTGGATGATTTGGAAAGGTTTCCATGGAAACATGCCTTGCACTTTTGGTTGCCTCCAAAAACACCACGACATGAAACAATTGAGTAGTATCCCGGATCCCCATGGATGTTAAATTCCGGCCAGACCACCGCGAGAAAACAGGCATTCTGGTTGGTAAAGTCTCCCAAGTTTTCTTGATCAACATCAACATCCGCGTCCTTGCCTACATCAATAGTTGGATAGTTGGATCAAAGATACCATTGCTTTCAAGTTGGATAGTTGCCTTTCTGACTCTGGAACCCGTCAGAAAATCACTGCAGTGAGGGACCTGGCCCCGATCGGCCCCCCCTATCCAGTCCGGTGTGCAACGCCCTGCGAATGGTGTCATCGCGTGCGAAAGTTGTGACCAGCAGTCAGGGGTGTATTTAGTGGGACTTCTTTAGCCAGTTTTGTTGAAGACCAAAAACATGGACAAACAAATGATCAGAAATGAATTGCAATCACCAAAGGATTGTCCAAAAATCACCAAAGAACATCAACAGCAAATGATTGAACCACTTGAGCTGATCATAGAACCATGAACCCCACGGACTCATATTTGGTTGGGATCTGCAGTAAGCTTCGCCATGGGTAACCAGGGATCCCTGCTTTTGCGACCA